AACAGCAAGTGGATGTAGTTCTGGACTCTAGCAACATAATCCTGCTTCCAAAGAGGGTGCTAAGCAACTTGTTTTTACAGCCTCAGTTTGGGATAGTCTGAGGGAATGAATGCATATAAACAAGAAAGAACATGTTTAGCTACAGCAAATACGAGGTAAAATGACATTTAAATCTGGCTGTTCACACCCAGTTTGCCCAGACCTTTTCGATAGATGTTAGATCAGAAGACGTGAACATCAGATTTCTGCAGCTTATTTTTGAATATTTATAGGAAAATGTGACAATTAACGCTTTACATAAAAGGGATTAATCTAATTGTTGTTAAAAATCATGTACAAAACAAATTATATTTTATTAGAAGCCTACGTATTAACCTTCTTGTTAATTAGCTTGCATGATAAATTCAACTACAAAAATGACTTACTGAAAGAAATACAAGGGAAATGATACAAGTAGGAGGTTTCATGGGTTTCTTGCATTTGGGGAACTTTTATTTATTTTCATTTTATCTTCTGTTGAACTTTTAAAAAATTAAGTGTTTTATGTAGTTTTGTGTGAAATTGGTTATCATGAAAATGAGGGACCTGAGTGCTGGCTTTGAGCCAGGCCTGGTGTGGTTAGACACTGTACAGGCTTTACCACACAGCTCTGCCAAGACTACTCATTTCTGTCCTGCTGTTCCAAAGGGTATACAACTATCTTTTGGATCGGTCCCTTTTAAAACTTCTAGCACACTATATCAATATTTATGATGTAGTCCATAATTGATAATATACATAGAAACTGTAATTTTCAATGGTCTTCCAATTTTACAACTGTCTAGTAGTACAATATTTTTATATTGTAGAAATAAGAGTGAAATTTGTTTTGCATTTGTTTAAGTTTAGCAGTTGTCATCAAGCAATGTCATACATAACTACTGAAAGCAGTACTGCCCACAGCAATATTGAAAAATAGATTTAAATATTTTTTATAAATATACATGAGTTGAAATTGCATAAGCTATTTAAAATAAGATATCTTTCATATTTACAGATCTTTGAATACAAAGCTAAATAAACTTCTAAAAGTTCTTTCTTTATGTAACTGGTTTATAATGTCAAAATATTGGACAGGGACTATTCAGGAGTTTACCATAAATCTGTGCATTAGGAGGGATAGGCTGAATGTATAGCATTAAGCCAAAGCATATGGATGTGCAATGTTTAGTGGCTGGGATTTAGCTTAAAGGATATTTCAATTCAAGTTTCAAACACAGACATGAGGAAGTCTGGTCAAAGTTTCAGAAACATGCATCACAATTTTTGTAGTTTGCACTATATTGTACCAGAAAGCATCAGCTTCTACCAATGGTTACTTACACAGGAATTATTCAAATTCATGATAAATGCACTACTGAAGAGCCTCAGGACAATTCATGTTCATGATGCTCACACTTCTGGTACTCACAGTCACTGCCAATCCACAGGCTTGGAGTATGGGACATGAGCATCTGAAATTCTCCAATGTGTCAAAAAGAAAAGACTCTCTTCCCCAGACCCCTCCCCAAAAATGGAGAAGAGAAATGCTCTTTGGTATCAAAAGGTTTGAGGCTTTTCTCTGAAAAGAAATGAAACAAAACCAAGCAAACAGAATAAAATCTACTTAACAGCAAAGTGTTTGGACTCTGCCGCAGACTGGAAATTCTGCAGCACCTTCATTTAAATTAAAAATGGAGATGTTAAAATAAATTAAATATGATTATCATGATCAGAAGAATATCCCCTGCTAATTATTTTGATATTAAAATGTACATTGTCCCCACACTATCGTTTTTCAGTATGCTAGAGATTTTTGTATCCATAATGTATAAGCTGCGTCTTAGAAACTGAAAGGCAGAAGATGGAGATTTGGCATCTGGGTATGGAATAGTTGGGGCTTTTGGCATCATGTAGTTCAGGATTGTGTATAAGAAAATTAGCTAGATATTTCAGTGAAACGGAGGAAATGCTGACACTGAAATGGTAATAGGCTTCAAAATCACTGAGATACATGGGGCAGTACACATTGCTTAGAATTATTGTTTCAGGTCATCTGCAGAGTCAGGAAGACAATACTACTTTGGTTTACACTCAGTTCACATCTACAGTGTTCTCTTTGTAATCATAAGAAGTAGAAACAATTTTTTAAAATAAAAGCTTAGATTATGTACCATAACTTGGGGCAAAGACATGGAATTGTTATATTCACAGTACCTTGTTTGTACTGCTACTGAATGCCGTTAAGGGACATTTCTCATCCCATGTGATGGTAGTTCTCATTAGTTCATTTTAATCTTCCACCAGCCCTATCAGTGTGATTGAGGTGGGGAGTAGGGGGAAAGGGTCCAGGTAATTTGTCTTCCCCTCATTGGAAATAGAGAGGATCTGGCAATGCCAATGACACCTAGTGTCAGCTCTTGGTGCATCCATGGTGATAATCCCACTTCACCTGGTACATGTGAGTGGAGAGTGCTGCTTTGATTATTGTCTCACTGCCTGGGAGTTTTAAAAGAAAACAGTAAAAATTTCAAAAACGTGCCTAGTGATTTAGAAGCCTATGTCCCATTGCACTTTTGAAAATTTTACACTTGGAGACTAGGTTGCTATCAGGCTGGGAGAATAGGAAGATTCCTTCAGTCCAGGTGATAACGCCAGCATGAATGCAGAATTGGTTTTTCCTTTTATTACCTTCAAGAGCCGTGTTTGTTAAGGGGAAAATTTATATCCCTAATACTGAGGAAAGGTCTAAATTAATTTCTATGATTTATTAAAAGTTATTCATGAGGAAATACTTTCTCTTTTGTACTGCCAAAGCCAGCCAAGATTAAAGTACTGGTTAGGTGATAAACTTAAACAGTACTTTGACAGTTTATCAGCAGCTTTACTTTATGCATCAAAATGTGCAGAAATCCTAAAAATGTTAGGGAAGGTTATTCCATCATAATTTGCTAGTTTACAACAGTGTCTCCCATAGTCTAATTTTACTTGTCTCTTTTTTACATATAACCTTCCCATCATATAACTGGTATGTTTTGTAAAACCCTATTAAATCATCGGAGGGAAAATATTGATAGTGGGTAAAAAAAAAAAAAAAGTGCCTAAATGAAAGTTAATGACTTAGGCTCCTAAACCATTCAGGTGATTTTAAAATTTACCCAGTGGGATTAAAGTGAGTCAGAGGCTGCACCATGTATTAATTTAAAATTAAATATAAATCCAAGTTAAATGGAGCATATCTAATCAGAATACTACTGTAAATAGGTAATTAAGCAATAAGGTTTTTTTCTATTCACAAGTGCAAACATATGAGACAGGAGTATATCATATGAAAACATAAGGTGATCTACAAGGATACCCATGATATTAAATAGGGCCACTTATGAACTACAGTTACTCTACTTTATTCTGAGTAATTGAGATTTTGATTACAATTATTTTAGCACCATGAATAACAAGAGACATTCAATCCTTATGTTTCTAACTAATCAGATTTAGAAAGCATGGAGTTAATGCTAGCAATATGAATGTTAATTGGTGTCAAAATAATAGACAAAATACAATGTTTACAAAGACATTCAACCACTTGTCAGTGTCTTCAATATTAGCATGCACAGTAGTATAAAATATAGCCAGTCTAAGATTACTATGCACAATTCTGAAAATCTTAAAAATGTTTTGATACCTTTCGTATATAAGAATAAAAGGCATATTGAAAATGTCAGCCGAGATTACCTAATAAAAACACTATGTGGAATTATAATGGTGCTATACTTATATCATTATTAAAAAATAAGGATCTAAATTAAATTTCCTCAACTACTGGGTGTTCAGACAAAAATTTGCATTTGAAAATGTTCTTCTACATTCCATTGCATACATCCTGTGTTTGATTCTGGAACCAAAGCCATAAATCTATTACAATTAGATTCTTATACCATGCCTATCATTGTAGTATCTGAGTGCCTAATGAGCAAACCGATTTCTATAAGCCAAAGCTACAACATTCAAGTACTGAATGCATCGGCTGTCTGATATCCAGAATCTCGGTTGGGAATTTCAAAATCCGTATGCCCAGATCATGTACAACAGTGAATACATGTGAAAGGGAGAAGATTGCTATTGTTTATCTTGCCAGAGGTTGGATAAGCTTTCAAAAGAAATTGATTTCATGCCTATCTAAGTAGCTTTTCCCATTTTTCAACATTCTTTTTAAAATGTGAATACCAGAACTGGATACAGTATACCAACAATGATCAATCTAATGCTATCCACATAACTAATGCCACCTCCCTATTTTTACTCAATATTCCCATTTATACATTCCAAGACGATTTTAGCTCTTAGTCACCACGTCTCACATTCAGTTCATCACAACTCTCAAGTCCTTTTCAGAGTAATTACTTTCCAAAATGCAGTCATCTCATCCTGTAATAGTGACACACATTCTTTGTTCCTAGATGTATGACCTTGCGTTTGCTTGTATTAAAACACGTTTTTCAAATGAGCCCACTTTGCAGAGTGATTTGGATCACTCTTTAGCATTATTTACCATTACCCCACTTTTGTGTCAATTTTTGAAACTGTCAGCACTGTGATAAATATTAATTTTTCATTTCAAAGTCAACTGAAATGAATACAATGGTTTCCACGTAGGTTTCTATGCATTATCAGTGTGTACTGTAATGAAAATATGCAATATTGAATGATATTGCCTGGAAGGAAACACAAGAACAAGAATAATGTGATTGCTAATGTAATTTCTGTAATGAAAGAATCGTGGGAATTTGAACTAGCAACATTACTTACAATGAAAGGAGATTTTCAGAAGTACGTGAGAGATTTAGGAGCCCAAGTCCCATTTAGAGTCTTAAATTTCTTAGGCATTTCTGAAAATCTTTCCCAAGGGGTATAAATATCACTTTACCATTTCTCATTTTAATGCCAGATTCTG